ATGTACGCATATATATTTTATTTGTAAAAAAGCAATTTGAATTAATTACAAAGATTATATAATGTTTTCATTTTCTTGGAAAATCTCTATGTAAATTCATAAATGCTGGATTCGTATAAATGCAAATATGTGACATATATATTGCGTTTTCTACTATGTATATTATCTACAAATAATTAAAGAAGAACATTTACTTTGTAGAAATTGAGAAAAAAATCCTACATGATGTAACAGGGCACTTCGAAACAAAAAAAGTTACGGCAATTATTGGTTCTTCTGGTGCGGGAAAATCCACCCTGCTAAAAATCATATCGGGCAAACGATTAAATAACGTTAAAGGTACCATCATCATAAACGGTGTTGAAGGAAATAAAGAAATGTTTCGCAAACAGATATGCTATGTGCCGCAACAATATGATTTATTGCCATTCCTTACAACGAGAGAAACTCTTTATATAGCAGCACGATTGAAACTCAATCAGAGCGAACAAGCGATTCGATTAGTTGTAAGTAAAATATAAATATACGATAAATATTATTAAATATATATAATTGTATATAAATATATATCTCAAAATAAATATAATACGCCAAATATTTCGTGTGCTGATAGAGCGGACTAAATTGATTGTGAGTCGAAAAATCCTCAACCATTTTGCAATTTTCGCAATAGTTAACAAAATATTAATTACTAAAAATCGCCAAATATTGGTCTTCAATAATTTTTTACTCAAATTTTTTACTATCAACTTTGCAGAAAGAGAACAAATATTGTTCATTTTTTCATAAAGCTCTAAGAATTTTTTTAGAATTTTTTATAAAACTTTTTAGTACCGCATTTTCTTATTGGCAATTATTTTTACCAACATGAGAAAATAAAAATTCTCAAAACTCTATAAGAAGAAACTGAACAATTCTCATCTTTTGCTGTTTTTTCTGTAAAGTTGATAATATTTGAATAAAAAAATTATAGAAGCTTAATATTCGGCGATTATTATTAATTAATAACTTGTTATTGCAAAAATTGCAAAATAGTAGACTTTTCGACTTAATTTAGCCCGCTCTATCAGCACATGAAATATTTGGCAGTTATTCTGGAACACTCTATATATGTAATTGTATATAAATATATATACAATCATTATATAAGGTATATCTCGCGAGACTTCTCCAACGGAAAGTAGATGGGATAAACATAAAAGTTCTTTACCGTTTAGTGATATTCGTAATAATAATCGAGATATTAATGTTTGCAATTGTACTAATAAGAGCGCGCTGATAGAAATGTTCCGGCCGTATATAACTCGAAGTACAATATATAGCGCATTGGAGAGATAAGAGGAAATGCCTCGTTGTTTAGCTATACTTCGAGCGGCCGGAGCGTTTTTGTCGGCACGCTCTCATTAGTACAATTGCAAATATTAATACCTCGATTATTACAAATATCACTATACGGTAAAAAACTTTTATCTTTATTTCGATCGCATCTACTTTCCTGTGGGCAGTTGGAGAAGTCTCGTGAGGACAGTCTGTATATTTTTTTATATTGTTAATATGCCACCATACTTTATAGTATATTTTATAGCTTGCTACGCAAGTAAAGTTATGTAAATTGATACATTATCGCCCATATCAGATATTATTTCTCAGGTGAACGATATTGCAAAGAATCTCAACTTGTCATCTTGTCTAAATACATTGGCGAATAAATTAAGCGGTGGCGAACAGAAGAGACTCTCCTTCGGCGTAGAAATGATCACTAAGCCATCTGTTCTCTTATTAGACGAGCCAACAAGCGGTCTCGACAGTGTAACCTCTAATCAAGTATAGTACATTACTAATATTCAGCTACATAAATAATGATTATTTTATAAGTTATTCGATATTAACTGATATAAATTGATATTTATTTTTTCATTATATTTTACTAATAATTTTATACAAATGCAACATTGCAGCAATATTGCATGTTGTAAAATAGATGAAATGTTATAAGTTTTCGTTTTGCAATAATCATTAAGTTTTAATGAGCTTTCAATAAACTATTTGCATTTATTAGCTTATTAGCATGCTACATGATATGGCGAAAGAAAATTGTACTATAGTTTGCGCGATACATCAACCCAGTAGTCAGATGATTTCATTTTTCGATAACATTATGGTACTCAACCGAGGCAGATGTATATACTGCGGTCCCAAGAGTGAGATCTTAAAGACGTACAGCATTGCCGGATTCACGTGTCCCAGCTTTTATAATATAGCCGAATATGGTAATGTTTATTTTATATATTCAATTTGATAAAAGAATTGCGAGAAGACAGAAAGATTAGAAAAAGAGAATAAAACTATACGCGTTTTTCTTATATTTTTCCTATATTTTTTAACTTTACGACTAATTTGTTTTTTATTAATTTTGCAATTTAATTTTTTTAAATTTATTAAAAAAGGTACATTCTACATAGTTAAGTTTTAAAAAACATATATAACAAATTGTTATTAAAAGCTGTCCAATTTTTTTACTTTGTACTTTAATTTAGAAATTAAAATGCTTTAAAGATATCATAAGATTTGTTCACGCTGTTTAAGAGAAAACGACAATTCTGAGTGCAAGTAATGCGATTAAGCTATAATTAATCCTAACTAAACTCTTTTTTCCTTGATATACACATTCGGGTCCCTGGGTCTATATTCTGTAACTGTTTTATACGCCTATACCGACAGTTATCGGTGTAGTTGCGCAGATATTTTATATGGTGAAAAAGCTGCGCAACGACACGGACAACTGTCGGGCATGTAAAGACAGTTACGGAATCGCGCCTCTAAGACCCCATCCATATTTGTTACCGTAACTTGCGTAAAAATGGACATATTTCAATTAATTTTCTTTTCAATCGATTAAGAGAATTGAATAAAGACCAATAGTCCATAATGTGTAAAAGTTAATAGAATTAAGGAGCTCTGAGATATAGGTTCAAAAAAAAGAAAAATTCAAAAATGCGAAAAAAAAAAATTTGCTAAATTGCACTGGGATTTCTGAGACTTCAGTGTGTAACTAGGGTAAAAAAAATAAAGAACAATTGATATTGATTCTTCTCATTGCAGTGCTTGAAGTAATAACCAAACAGAGGGGTGGAGATTTAGAGAATCTATATGAGATCTGTCGTGATGAATACGAAAAATTTAAATCATGCAGTAAACGTAACAAAAATAGTAAATATATATTGTATTTTATTATTTAAACATTTTATTCTTAATTATCTTGGTTATTTTGTCAATTCATATGATAATCTACTAATAATTTATTAATAATTCTATTAATTAATAATTACATTTCTAATTTAAATAATAATCTATTATTTTACTTGACGATGATTAAATAATGAAAGTGTTAATATTTTATTTATCGAATATCTATACTACATTCTCTATATAAATATAAATTTTAACATGCAGATTTTTTGATATATGAGATCAGGCAATACATTGAGCTCTATACTGGAGTGAGTCTTCTCTACGTTCGGTGGGGGAGGGTGATCAACTGTGCGAGAGTAATAGCCATACCTTTTGGGTAGAATCTCTATACCAGAGTTTGGCTCTTAGAACATATACGACAAGGGCCATAGGTGACTGTCGATCAGTGATGGGAATTTGGCTCCATGTAACGCAGAGAATCAACCCCTCTACTTTTGCTCCATCAGTTAACGCCGCGTTCGGCTGGTAGAGAGCAGCGTCAATTGGTTGAACAAAAGTGGAAGGGGTTGATGTTCTTTGCGTTGTGCAGAGCCAAATTCCCATCACTGCTGTCGATGGCTCCAACGCCTCCAACATCTATCTGTCCTTATTTGAATGCTTCACCGTAATGCGCATGTATCAATTATTATTATGTAGGGTTAAAAGTATTGTATGTACTCTCACCTTAGAACATACAATACATTTAAAGTTCACACATAAATCACACGCAAGCAAACAAGCTTTCAGATAAGGAGACAAATAGATGTTGGAGATACTTTTATTACATTGATTAGATATGGCCCTTTCAGTATGTATGTCTAAGGTCTGGCCATTGAAGCTTAATGAAGAATTAAATGGCGTCTATTACGTGACTCATCACAGATAATTAAGGCACTATAAGTATTCGCATCCGCCATTTTTAGTTCTTTTCTCATTCTTTTTGCTTCTTTCCTCAATCCCTTGTTCTCTCTCTCTCTCTCTCTCTCTCTCTCTCTCTCTCTTCTCTCTCTCTCCACCGCTAAACTAAGAAGATCGAAGAGAGAACAAAGAGTAGGAAAGGAACTAAAATTGGCAGATGCGAATACTTATATTATAGTGCTCTAAGGTAATTAAATGTGATTTAGCATATTGAACAAATTGATGCATTGTATGAATTGTCTTATATTTGATATGAATTTGCTGACATCAAAATAGGACACATTACAAATGCAACAATATGATTGTTTATGCAATCAGTTGATGATATTTCAAAAACAAAGACAGTAATAACTGTATGTTATGCTGTCGGCAAGATGACAGCAACATAACAGCAATGAATGATCAATTATTCCATTTTGAACATTATGACGATACAAACATATATAATGATATTTATCTGTTATTGCGTATATGTTTTCAAGTTATGAAATTTTTTTATCGATCGTAGTTACTAACAAAATGTTATCACGAAAATTACTTACCCGCTTAATAATTCTCTCTAATTCTCGTAATTCTGCCGACAGAGGGCCACTGCGTAGATGCATTAACTTAACATAATAATAAGAATCACGTGGGAAAGAATATAAAGAGCGCCCCAGGTAGCACATATTCGTTTAAAAAACGTTTCAAATGTTTCTTTGAAATGTTTCATAACCAGCTCTTGAAAACGTTTCAGATTGATTAAAATGTTGTCATTGGAAAAACGTTAAAGAAAACGTTTTTTTTCTGATAAAAAATGTTTAAAAAACGATTGAATACCATTTTTTCCTATATCTGTGATAAAATTTTCTTTCTCACAGAATTATTAAAATAACCCCATCAACAGACAATGTTTTTTAAATATTTTAAAAATGTTTTTTAAATATTTTAAAAATGTTTTTTAAATATTTTTAAAAATATTTTTAAAAATATTTAAAAAAACATTTTTTAAAACATTTTTAAAAATGTTAAAAATAATGGGTTAAATCTTCTTTTTTTTTATTAAAAAACATTTATTTTAACGTTTGAAGAAACATTTCTTTAATTTTAAAAAAACATTTTTTAAAGTCATAATTATTTTCAAAATTAGAAAACATAACAATGTAGAATTTTTTTAATTTATATTTTTTATCGACAATGCCTAAACATTAGACAACTATAATTTTATTTATTAATTCTAATTTTATTTTAATTTTTTTCACTTACCGCAACCAGGTTTTGAATCTAGGACCTAAGGATTTTGAATCTTATATCTTCCGTCTTGTCACTTATAATTATCGATGCACATAGTTTTTATTGTCCATATATGGTTCTGGGTGTCGATCGGTCAAGATGCCTTGCGCGTTCGACTCGTGACTTATGCGAGTTCGGATTTGCTGGCGCCCTACATAAGATTGGCTTGCTCCGATATGGCAGGAAGCAATCTAATTACTTGATTGTCTCAGCATTAAGGACAAGCCAATATCTAATCCTAATCCCATCCTCCCTGCAGGCGCTGCTGGGTTTTTCTATTGCCCTTTTCGGGGCGGCGCTGGATTTTAGAATAGTCTTTTCGCATATACCTTAGTAGGTGGCATGTTTGCCCCCTCCTCGGGACGGGACCGACTTACATTAACTGTTCATCTATGGTACACTTAACGCAATTATATTGTGTTAAGTTCTCTTCCATGATTATTTTATTATTTCAACCCGTTTTTTATTAATTTGAGGTTTAGAAAATAATATTTTTTACATATTTATAATAAATGGCGAATAAATGTTAAATAAATGTTTTTTTAATTATATTTTTAATACATAAATAACAAAAAACAAACATTTATTAAATGTCAAACGTTTAAAAACGATTTAATAAATATTAAATAAATGTTTCTTTAAACCATTATTTCAAACAAATAATTAATGTGAAATGAATATTTCTTAATGTGAAATAAATGTTTCTTATTATCACATTTTAAATGAATAAATAATGTAAAATAAACATTTTATAAACGATAAACAAACATTTAAAAAATATTTCTTTAAACCTTTATTTGAAATGAATAATTAATGTAAAATAAACATTTAATAAACATTAAATAAACATTTAATTATTCAAAAAATTTTTCTTCAAACTATTATTTCAAATGAATAATTAATGTTAAATAAACATTCAATAAACATTAAATAAACGTTTAAAAAGTTTTTTCAAATCATTATTTCAAATGAAAAACAAATGGATGAATAAGATCGTAGAGCTGTCTCATCTGACATAGATGTTTTCTTAATGCAAAAGTTTTATAGCTCGTATTGACACGATATTGCACTCAGCGCATAATACAATACTGCACAAACAATACTGAGTTTATGAAACTAAGGATGATATTCATAGTCGAAGCTCAAGGCAGCGCTTAAGACCATTGGTCAAGACTGTCTTATTCAATTAAGATCATCTTGAAATCGTAACATTTCACGAAATAAGATGACCTTCGAGAAATTTTTCCTTAAGAAATTCTTGTTTAATTTAAGGTCGTCTTGACGAAGATGGTCTTACCCAATCAGCAAATAATGTTTTTTAAATGTTTTTTAAACGTTTATTGTTTTATTAATTTTACATTTTTCACGATTTGTTTTCAAAATTATTTAATCATTAATTTAACGTTTATTAAACATTATTGTACATTATAATTGTTCGTTTAAAATAAATGATTGAAAAAACATTGTTTAAATTAAATACGTTTATAATAAAATTATAAATTATTTTATTTAAAATAAAAACGTTTTTTTAATGTTAATTTAGAATTTGTTTTTTATTTGAAATAATGATTTGAAAAAATATAAGTTTTTAACTTTCTTTCCGATTTTAGTACAAAATATATTGCATCATATTCAAATTTTGCATCTACTTTAATCCTGTAAAAGAATTTTTGATTCCGTTCAGTAAATTCGAAAATTTATATTGATCTGCAAAATATCGACAATTTGGTCACTCTAGAATTCCCTTAATGGGGACATTTTTCACTTTTCATTATAGGAAAAAAGTTTTATGAATAATATCATCGATGAGATACTATTAAAGATCGTCAACCCAAATTTTCGCTGATATAAAAGGGCCTCAAGGGCCCGGAGATAATTGAAGATTTACTGACGTTATCAACAATTGATATAAATTTGCTATTATTAACATAAATATTTGGCTCATACATTATTAAATTCATGATTTTTTATTACATAAATGTTCCATAAATAAATATGTGTACTTGTAAAGCTAATATTCTATATATTGCAGAAAAATTAAAATTTTTTTCTCTGCAATTATTATCTCTGTTGATAATCAAACTTTGACGATCACTGAAATTACAATTTTAAAGAAAAATCGAGTATTATTGAGTTCTAAATGCATAAATACATCTACTAAATTAATTACTACTTACTACTTACTAATTAATAAATCTTAAAATTAGTATAATATTATCAGTTTTTAATTCAATATTTACAAGGACGCAAACTCCCATAAGGATGTTGGTCTTTAATAGTATCTCGTCGGTGTTAATACCCAGATTTATATCGACGAGATACCATTAAAGATCATCGATCTTGAATAAATTTCCGTGACTATCAATGGGGCCCGAGGAGCCTGGGAATAATTGAAGGACAATGATGTTATCAACAATTAATAATAATTCATTATTAACATAAACATTTCGATAATATATTATTATAAATTTGTATTTTTTTATTATTTGTATTTTTTATTTATAAATTCTGTATAAATAAGTTTGCATATTATATAAAGATTATGCGTTTTGCGAGTTTTCTCCGTGTCCAGATTTATTCTTGGAATGTCAACTTTTGTGAACTTTGCAGTCCGCTTCATCAGGGCGAGGAGCAATCTGATACTGTATCAGGTAATCTTTATATAGAAAGCACACATGGAAGTCTTAAGAATATTAAGTATGCATACTTTTAATGCTATAATTATCTTATACAAATTACAATATATTTTTTTCTCTGCAGTTATCATCTCTGTTGATAATCAAACTCAGATGATAACATTAAAATTACAGTTTTAAATAAAAATTGAGTATTATTAAGTTTAAAACATATGTACATGTCTACGAAACTAATCAATCATAAAATTAGTTTTTTACTCTTAATTACTTTAACAGGCGAACTTTCATAAGCGCCGACCATCTTTAATAGTTATCTCATTGGTGGTATGGCTAGGGAAGGCTCACTCCAGTATGTATTGTTTTTTTTTATTGAACGTAAAAGAGGGGAT